ATGACCAAGGGGGGCAAGCATGACCGCCCGCGATCGTCCAGCCGCAGCCGCAAGAATGAGTATCTGGTATGTCCTACTTGCCCTCGGTCTTGGGTGTTTGTGCACAAGGCAGGGAAGACGGGATGGGAGAGCTGTCGAGAGTGTGGCCGTTTGTGGAAGGATCCAGCCAGGGCGATTGTCACGTTCGACCTGGGGGAGACCGAGGGAGGCGCGAGCTTGCCCCTCCGATCATGTCTCAAAGGAAGCGGAGTTGGCCTGGACCCGATCCTCCAGGTACTCCTCCCCAACTTCAACAAGGCCAAGGTGGACGGAGATCAGGAGGGCCAGACCAAGCTCCTGGCCGTCTGCCCAGACTTGGAGGCTGCGTGGAAGCCTCCACCAGAGGCCTCACCGGTGGAGCGCCTGGCACAGAAGGCGCAACAGCTCCGCCAGCTCCAGGCGCAGCAGGGGCGGATCAAGAACCAGCTGTTGCAGGCGGCTCAGACTCTCAAAGATATGCAGACCAAGCTCAGGACTAACATTGATGAATGCCATTCTGCGCAGTCCGAGATCGACGAACTGGTGGGCAAGACCAAGGCAGCAGGACCTCAGTCGGACGCACGGCAAGCACAACAGGCACATCAAGAACATGAAGAAGATTTCCCAGAGTTGGAGACTGAGGAATTGGCATCCCTCGATGAACCCACTCGGAAACAGTACGAAGAAGCGGCAGCGGCTCATAAGAAGGCTCGCAACCTGCTCAAGTCGGCCACTGATGCGGGCAAAGCGGCACGAGAGGCTGCAGAGAGGCTGCGAACGCTGCACAACTCCATCAAGAGGCGCAGAGGAGCGGGAGGTGAAGCCCAAGGAACAGATGCAGCAGCTGCGGAACCAGACGAGACAGCTGCAGCGGCAACCCCAGAGGCGGTGGACTTCACGGACCCGAGTGCGATCGACCAGTATATTGCCAGGCCAGCGGCGCTCCGTGCCAGGGCCAAGGGGGCAACCAGCGTTGCACCGTCGAGCTCCTGACAGCGCCATCGTCAACACAAAGAAAGAACGACCTACACGAATGAAGAGTGGCTATGTGGACGTGCTGTTCGCCAATGTCACGCATTACGGGGAAAAGGTGCGACATTACGTGGAGCACTGCAGTTTTGACATGCTCGGCTTAGCAGAGCATCACCTGCTCCCAAAGGCCGCCAAGCAGGAGATCAAGAAACTGAGATTCAAGGGGTGGCAATCACAGTTCTCGTGGACGCCTGCGACACCATCGATGCGGAGTAAGTCTGGTACTCAAGGGGGGACGTGCTGGCTTGCCAGAGCAGGCCACGTCACGGCAGCACACTTGCCCGATGGCACGGGGACAGTGTATTTCAGAAAGAACTGCGCGACATCTCGATCATCCTCTGGCGTTTGAAAGGGGCAACGCTGGCTTTGATCTCGGTGTATCTTGATTGCAGTGTGGGACTTGATGGACCAGCGAACGTCGCCAAGATGGCACAGCTGACACGAGTGGTGAAGTCCCTAGGAGTGCCATGGGTTGCACTCGGAGATTGGAACAACACACCGACGCAGATGCAGCAGTCACCATGGTTGAAGGCTCTGAGGGGAGAGCTGCTGATACCAAGCGATTGTACTGTCACATGTTCCACAGGCAAAGGCAGACTCATTGATTACGGGATAGCTTCGCGAGACTTTCACCCTTTTGTGAAAGAATTCAAGCCAGTGAGGGATGTACCATGGAGCCCACACGTGGGTCTCCACCTGCGCCTGCACTCGCGACCCGCCTCGGTCAAGGTGCAGATGCCGATCCAGCCAGTGAAGATCGAGATCGCCACCACCACGGTCCACAAAGAGAAAGGACTCAAGCGAGCCCAACGTGATCGTGAGAAGTATCAGAAGATGGTGGCAGCAGCAGCAGAGCGGGATGAGAATGCAGCGACACCAGGAGACCTGCATCATGATGAGTATGGGCATCTCCTGGAGACGACGTACGCCACGAAGCAGAAAGAGACAACCAGCGATGAGCAGCGGTTGCAGGCGCTGGCAGACACCCGAGGACGAGCGGTTCAAGACCCAGTTGATGATGTGGCAGAATCCTGGGCGTATCGCCTGGACCCTGAGGGTTCAAACAAGCTGGCCTACCACTTTGGCGAGTGGTCAGTAGCAGCGGAGCAGTCACTGTGTATCATGACGGATGCCAAGCCAAAAGAGAAGGTGCGCATAGGATGCAATCCCAAGTTCACGTTGCGCAAGGTCACCATTCAAGAGAAGACAGACCCCTTCTTGGACGCGGCCCTCAGGGAGAAGGCGAACCTGTGGGAGGCCTCGGCGGCCAGACTGAGGGAGTTGGCAATACTGAAGGCGCGGCAGAAGAAGGATGAACACTTGAAGCTGGTTGAGAACGTCATGCGCTCGCTCAGTCAGCGCATCGAGCTCATTGACCAGGCCAAGGGCGGCAAGCAGGACACTGACTGGGACAAGGAGGAGGACAGCAGGGTGCTGCTCAACTTGACGCAGTATCTAGCCGGTCAGCCTTGTCAGTCACTGCGGGGACCGTTGGGCCCAAAGCCACCAAAAAAGCAGCGGAAGATCGGAGTGAGCGGCACCGAGCAGGAGGCGACGGAGATTGTCCCACCAGTGGCCACCAGCAGTATGGGCTGCGAGGACGACCCCTACGTGCATATGGATGCGGAGGCGGACGAGCCCAGCTTGCAGCAGCTGCAGCTGGAGGAGGAGGCTGCTGAAGCAAAGGGGGAAGGTGCGATGGCGAGTAAGGCTGAGCAGCCCCAACTGGCCCGCTCTACGGGGTTGGGGACACGATGGACCTTGATGGCGGGAAGCTCGACACCTACGGCTCCACCGACTGGGGGTACATCGTCCCAACTGGCCCGCTCTACGGGGTTGGGGCCACGAGCGACGAGGGCAGCAAGCACTACGACACCCTCGACGCCATCTACTGGGATTACGCCGCCCCAACTGGCCCGCTCTACGGGGTTGGGGCCAAGAGCGTCAGGGAGTGCGAGCAGTTCTACTTCGATGTCGCCGTCTACTGAGCAGCCCCAACTGGCCCGCTCTACGGGGTTGGGGACACGAGGGACCCTGATGGCGGGAAGCTCGACACCGATGGCTCCACCGACTGGGGGTTCATTGTCCCAACTGGCCCGCTCTACGGGGTTGGGGCCACGAGCGACGAGGGAAGCAAGCAGATCGACACCTCCGACGCCGTCTACTGGGAGTACGCTGCCCCAACTGGCCCGCTCTACGGGGTTGGGGCCAAGAGCGACGGGAAGTGCTAGCAGTTCTACTTCGATGACACTGTCTACTGGTTGTACGTGGATGTCAGAACGCTCCAGGGCCCCGCAAGGGAGCCCTGGATCGCCGTCGCCACCTGGACGACCCGCGCCCTGGGCACTCCAGCCACAGGAGGAGGGAGCTCCAGCGAGCGGCGCGGGCGGACAGGAAGCTTGCTGGATTCGTGATAGCAATGGCAGCACAGACAGCGGTAACTTCCCCCTGCGTGGCGAGGGGTTAGGCCACAGTGGGCAGGAGCAGATGAGGATTGAGCTAGGTGAGCCCCTCGACTCCCCCACCACCCTGATCGAGCCAGGTGGGCCCTCCGTGACGTTGAGGTCTGAGCTAGGTGAGCCCCTCGACCGAACAGGAGCAGATCAGAACGAAGCATCGGAAGAAGCAGAACTGATAGCTGAAGTTTTCCGACGGGCAGCCCGTCATGCTGCCCTGGCCTGGCGGGACACTCGAGCACAAGTACGATCATGGGCCAAGAAGGCAACAGACAATGCGATGAAAGGAGCACATCGTTATTTGAGTTCAGAGGAGCGAATCGACACGAGTGATGGATGCTTGGACCCAAACACCAGGAAGTGGGAGATGGACCCGCAGAAAGGAATTCAACTTCGACGACGGCAGTGGGAAAGGCGATGGACGGCTCACAAGGACTTCGCCGCAAAGGAGCTCCCGCAAGCCATGCACGACCTGAGGAGCAAGGCACAGGAGGCGCTCGCTGAAAGGCCCTTCCTCACGCGTGAGTGCCTTGACATGGCGCTGAGCAGCTTCCACGCGGGGACTGGGCTTGGTGCTGATCAATGGGCGCCAGACCAGTTGCGAGCGCTCAGCCCGTCGTGCAAGGAATCCTTCCTCCTCATCTTGAATATGTGTGAGAGGCAGTTGACTTGGCCACATCAGATAATGCAGATATGGTATGCCCTACCACCAAAGGGGGACAAACAAATAGCGGGGGAAGAGCGGCCCATAGGGCTGATGCCGATGATGATGAGAGTCTGGGGTAAGATGACCAAACAACGATTAACTGAGTGGTGTGATCGAAAAGCGGGGTTCTGGGACGCGGCCGTCAGGAAGAGTTCGGCGTTGCAGTCAGCACTGCTAACACTTGTTCTGGACGAAACACGGGCCAATCTAGACGAAGCCAGCCAAGCTACGTTCTTCCAGGACTTAGAGAAGTTCTACGATTTGGTAGACTTAGGCATATTAGCTGTACGTGCTGCGCAAGTTGAGTATCCCCCAGTAGAGCTGTACATGTGCATCATGTCGTACCTCTGCCCTAGGCTAGTCAAGGCTAATAAGATCTACAGTGACCTGATCGTTCCTGACAATGGGATGGTACCAGGATGCGGTAAAGCTAACCACGGAGCCCGAGCACTACTCTATCACGTGCTAGAAGAAGTACACCTAGCCGTCCCGATAGCGAGGTTGAGACAGTTCGTGGACGACATCACCGTGAGGGTCGAGGGCCCTGACGACGTGGTAGGTGCAGCGGTGTCGAAAGCAGCGAGTGTCCTGGTTGGAGGCTGCCTCAAGGCGAGGCTCAGGATCTCCGACAAGTCTACCATCCTTGCCCAGAACCCCCAGGACGCCCTGGAGGTGGAGAGGTCCCTGGCCGAGTTTAATGTTTCCATCAAGAAAGGCAAGGAGATGAAGGACCTGGGGACCGACAACACCATGGGGATACGCAGATCCAGGAAAACGGCGACAAGAAGGAGTAGACTCGGCAAAATTCGGGCCACCAGGGCCGGTTTATTCGCTAGTTTGGGACGGGCCCGACGTAAGAAGAGCAAGCTCCTATTTAATGCTAACGTGCGGGCTAAGATGTCCTACGATAGCCCTCTCTTTGGCCCCCCCCCGACCGAAATCCGAAAGCGGAGAGCCCTGGCCGCGGATTTAGCTGGTTTTGGAAAGAAGGGCCGCTGCACCGCGATGGTCATGCTGCTGATGTATGGGGAGGGGGACCCTTGGGCTGCGTGCGTGAAGCGCCAGGCCAAAGAGTGGCTCATTTTCTGGGCCAACAACCCCACCCTCAGGCAGCAGGTTCGGAGGGGGTGGACGGCCACTAAGTTTAAGCTTGCTAGGTTGAAGCCCCGATCCCGATGGCGAGCAGTAACGGGGCCTATGGGGGCCTTGTTGCTCACCCTTCGGTCCCTGGGATGGGTCGGGGTTGAGCCTGACGTTTGGGAGGACCCCGACGGTGCTCAGTGGCGCTTCAACCCCGACCTGTCCGATGATGTGACCGAAATTAGTGATGCCTTGGCCCAGTCAGTTCAGAAGCAGTTGTGGAAGCAAGCCTCCTTGCACAGTGAAGGAGCCTGCCTCAAGGACGGGGGGGACCTCACCATGTTGCAAACTAATGTCAAGCGCATGCATAAGAAAGATATGTATCAGGAAGCTGGCGCCCTGGAGGGGATAGCGTGTGCCACAATTTGGAATGGAGATCGCCAGAAGCGAGCTGGCTATCAGACAGACGGCATGTGCACTAGGTGTGATCTAGGGGCCCCAGATTCCACGCGTCATAGGACCTACGAGTGCCCCAGTCTGGCCCAGTTTGAGCATCCTTGGATTGCCAGAACGGGACACTTGTGCGAGCGAGCGATCCGCGACCTCGACCGAGGGGTTAACGAATCGCTCTGGCTCCGAGGGATCGTTCCCCTTTCATGGAATCCTGTGCCACCCCCACCAGAGTGGGGGGATGTGAATGCCTGGCGTGTTAGAGCCGTTGACACCCCACCACCCGCCATCGGTCCCAATGGAGAAGTGACGCCAGCCCGAAGGCTGGAGGCGATGTTTGGCTTTTTGGATGGTTCTGGCACGTCGTCGGACCCGCGTGTGGCGCGAGTCGGGTGGGGCGTCTATCTCCAGTTGGGACTGCATGGCCCTCCCGCCCCTGGAGCTTCGGACCCTTCCCCTCCCCTCCCTGGGTGGTACGGGGGAGTCGACGGCCGCCAGACCGTCCCAGCAGCAGAGCTCGCCGCCTTGTGGTGGTGTTTGGAGCTCACCACTGGGGATATAGTTATATATACTGATAACCAGGCTGTCTTTGATGGGTGGCACGGGGGTAAGCTTGACAACCCCAGTGGAGTGCTCAGGGGGTGGTGGCAGGGATCAGAGCTGCTGCCCTTTCTCGCCCTGGGGTTGTCATCCTCCGAAAGTGTTTTTCCCACCTTGATTCCCATTCCCACCTCCTGTCCTCCCAGCCTCCCTCTGTCTCCCGTGGGAATGAGTTGGCCGACGCCTACGCCCAGAGAGGGGCTGAGGAGGCGAGCGCTCCCATCAGGGGAGAAATCAAGGCCTTAGGCGTCGCGGACGCCTGCGCCACCCTCGCCCAGCAGCGCCTGGCGGCGGTGACCAGGGAGCTCGCGTCGCAGGACCGCGAGCATTGTGCACGGACTCCCGAGGGGGGAGGGGGGGCAGCTTCCAGGCGGGTTGTCGAGCTCGAGCGAGTGTCGGGCCACCACTTGGGGCGGTTGCCCAATGGGGCGTGGCTGTGTCGTCGGTGCCGCCAGGGTCCGCCCCCAGGGTCGTCGCTTGTGGACTGGCTCGGGCTCGAAGATAACCGCTGTAAGGGGGACCCCACCCAGCGGCACTTGAGCGAGAATGATACTGTTGTGCTCGTGCCCCGCCCTGTGACCACGGAGTTGAGGACGGCCAACAAGCATGTCCACCCCTCCCATTGCGTGGCCATGCGTAACGGGCAAGTGTGGTGTTGGAAATGCGCCAGTGTGGGCACCGTGGTGAATGGGGGGGGCCGTCTCTTGCTCCTAGCGGAGCCGTGCCGAGAATGGACCACCCCTCGGGAGATAATTATCTTAGTAGATTGCGCAAGGGGCTCCCACCAAAGGGCAACAAGTGGCCCAATGACAAGGGAGCTGGGCGCCTCCGAGTGGAGGCAGGGTCGAGTGTAATCCAGTCACTTTTGAAACCCAAGTCTCGGAGATAGTGTGCTATCGAGAGCCGCCCCCCGAGGGGGGGGTGTAATTGTCCAGCTGTGGCTTCGCTGCTGACTGGCTCCCTTCAGCATTCTCCCAGCATTCTCCTCCACCCCCTCCCCCTCCTTCCCTTCCCCTCCTGCTCCCCCCTCCTTCTCCCCCCCTTCGCCTTCGGCGTCGTCGTCGTCCTCCTCCTCCTCGTCCAATTCCTCATCCTTATCCTCATCCTCGTCCTCGTCGTCCCCCTCTTCTCTCCTCTCCTCCCCTCTCCCCGCCCCTGGTTCCATGTTTTAACCCTTCGGTGCAGTGGTTCTCCGACGTTGTGCCTGCTGCGGCACCCTCCGCTGCAGCAGGCGAGCGGTTGGCGTCTGGCCCCTTTTTGGGGTGCGCCAGGCGTTGGGTTCAAACGAAAACCTCCCCCCTTCCTCCCTTCCCTCCCTCTGCTCCTCGTCCTCCTCGGACAGCTTCTAGCTTCTGGCAGCACTGCTCTCCCGCAAGAGCCAGATGTGCCGAGGTGCCCCAATTCAGCCTGCAGCGAGCTTGGCAATCCCCCTCCTGCTCCCCCCTCCCTCCCCTCCTCCTTCCTCTTCGCCTCGTCCTCCCCCTCCCCCCTCTCTCCCCCTTCCTCCCTCCCCCCCCCGTCTCCCTAAGAGCCTGAGGACCTCCTGCCGCCCACCGGCGCCGACGCCAGCGCTGCCCGCCTGCCCGTGAGGCAGCCAGCCCCTGCGCAGGCAGCACCGCGCGGGAGGGGCGGGCTCTTTTTGTGGAGATTTTGCTTTCGGCGGCACCT